GGCATTATGTCAACAAGAATCATACATACTAGCAACATAGGATCCATGTATAAACGGCTGTATGAAAACAAAACACAGCGGTTCCAACGCACTGCTGGCATCTTTCGTGATTAGCATGTACTTCATTCAAGTTACTCTACTTCGTTGTGAATAGATGTCGCGACTGTTGGCCCTAATCCTATTTCAGACGTTCTGCTAACAAGGTCCCATGCATTACCATCATAAAGATGTGACTCAGTAGTCTAGCCAACGTGTTTATTATCCAGCTGTTATGTGTCAACCACATTTTTTATCGTATAAGTAAGACTAAATTTGCAATTTATAGGATCCCACGATTTAATTAATGCTAGTCTGATCAATTTTGTAATTCTTGGTAGTGTTGATATTTGACTCATAGATCATTTTACAATACCCACAGTGCACCCCATGTACATTTATCACATTAAATTCCATACCCTATGTCCTAAGTGCCACAATGCAACTTCCTAAAAGTGCTTCAAGTCCCTGACATGATATGAGAATATCATGTTTTGAGTTTCTACTTTAATCACTGTGCTCAGCATCCCTTACACCAAGTACTGGCAGAATAATAAGCAAATCAACTCCTCTGCACGATTAAAATAATGCATTAAGTTACTGGACCAGTAGAAGCATTCTTTTTTCAAATACAAACGAGTATCACCTGAAATGCAAAACTTAAAATCATATTTCCAAAAGTATGATAGCAGTAGCATATACCACAAGTTGCAATGTTCTTAACACACAACACACACTTCCTAAAAATATGCAAGTGATTACTTAGAACAGAACACATCACAGTGCAAATGATGATATGGAAGGCATATGTGTGTGTGTGCATGCATGCAATGCCAAATGTCAGACATGTATCATAGTCTATTATTAGGACGATCAAAATTAGCACTAGTGAAAGGGGTAAGTTTAGATTTAATTCAGTTGCTCTGTACATGATACCATTATCTGAAAGATTACAGTGTTCATCGAAAAGATCAACTGACACATCAGTGGACTCATGTCACAGACACAGACCAGAAAGGTCCCATTGGTACTTATGAATCCAAAAGGGTAACATGAGAAACAGATCTAAGTATGCCCAAGACATTGAATCATATGGCCAATTAAAATTTTTTCTCAGGCAACAAACAATGGATGAATGTTATTGCTCAATAACTCCTATCCATGATATAATGGCTAGTAAGAATGTTCCTTAACTTATGACTGAATTCTTAATTTCTAATGTCAGGTGTGGGCCGCATTTCTCTTCAGATGTATGTCTAAATCAGAAAAGCCTTCAGTAATTTCATGGAATGTATTCCCTCATGTGTTTTGTGCTGCTGGTAACAATATTTTCATACACTGGGAATTTCTGTGCACACATTACAGAAGAACAGTTCAATCTTGGTTGAGGATTTTTTACTCAAACAGGTAGCCACGGTCACATCATCATCATCATCATTATTTGTTGCTCTACAACCCAGCCAAATTCAATTATATACTTTTACCCATGCACCCATATGAGCCAGGATAGCTCAGTCAGTATAGTGACTAGCTACGGGCTGGACGACCGGGGTTCGATCCCCGACGAGGGCAGAGGATTTTTCCTCTAGCCTCTGCGTCCAGACCGGCTCTGGGGCCCACCCAGCCTCCTCTACAATGAGTACCGGGGTCCTTTCCCGGCGGTAAAGCCGGCCGGGGCGTGATGCTGACCACTCACCCCCATCTAGTGCCGGGGTCAAGGAAGAGAGGAGCTATACCTCCACTCACCCCAAACGCCTACATGGCGTATAGTGGGACAAACTTTACTTTACTTTTACCCATGCACCCATTCAATGAATAACCGATATTTAGCACAATTAATTTTCTTTATATACACAAATATGCATAATTTAACAGGGATGATAAACTAGTATGAGTATAAACATGACATTATTAACTATTATATACAGTACCTGTATAATTAAAATACAGTGAAACCTCGATGCATCGTTTTCGGCGGGGGTGGGAAATAAAAACGATGAATGCGGGAAAACGATAGATGCGGGAAAGCATTAAAAATTTTAAAAAAAACAATGTTTCTCTTTCAAAGTTACTTCTTTTTACCAAAAAAGTCTTTAATGGACAACTGGTTTGTCGAAACTTTACGTTTTAGGCCAAACAGAGCCCTTTCCACGTTCAAAATGTTTTCT